CTGGTGGTGGTGGGGAGGATGGAGGGGAAGGGACCATCCTGGTGGTGGTGGGGAGGATGGAGGGGAAGGGACCATCCTGGTGGTGGTGGGGAGGATGGAGGGGAAGGGACCATCCTGGTGGTGGTGGGGAGGATGGAGGGGAAGGGACCATCCTGGTGGTGGTGGGGAGGATGGAGGGGAATGAAAGTGTCAGCATCTGCGAACTCAAACATGTGTAAGTACCGGTCTTTTATACCGCAAGTATTAGACACGATTGGATAGATGAGAAGGTAATAAGTGACGTAGCAATTGAGTCTTCCTGGCAGAACTTAACGCTAAAGCTTCCAGTTCCTTGAGCGCCTGTTCTCTGTTGGCTTGCGGGGGATGTACATCGCAATGACAATGAATACCGTATTCCTGTCCCAGCTGCCTAGAACTGGTGAGTTACAGAAAATAAAGGGGGAATCATATTTGCAAAGTACCCAGAGAAAAATATAATGTATTTCAAGAATTAAAAACAGAAAAATTAAAAACAGCAATTTATCAGAAACTCTATACTGATCTATAAACAATATTGACATATACACATGCCAAACAATAACACCAGGCGAGCAAACAATCCCAAATAGCAACGGTAGGCTTTTATAAGAGTTAAGGTACACGAGACATCAAATGTCAGTTTCCTGAAGATGAGATCAGTCTTGCTTGTAGTTTTTAAAAGGTAATGTCCTTCCTTACAGAAAAGTTGTTTTCAGTCCTTTGCTAATGGCATTACTCCCTCCAAAGGGAATCAAGGAAATATGTGCTCTGGTAAGTAATCCAGGAGTGATTATAGCATAAAAATTATATTTGGGCAGCAGTTTCCCAAGCAAACAGCAAGAGGCAAATCACACTGATCTAATTCTTCTTCTGCTACTTCCCCTTTTTATTCAAAACATGGAGGGCTACTAGTGACCTCTAGTGGCGAAGATAAACACAGCCCCCAGAAAAGATAGCATGTTGTCTGTTACAACCATGAATTCCCTTGTTGCCAGATTGGTCGACACAGTAGAGTCAGGTATTCCAGATCAGGGGAGGAACAGGCCTTGACTTGACTAGCCCCAGATCACACCGAGAGACGTTGATCATAAAACATACTCCTCCTCCTTTGCTTTTCCTTGAGAGGTCTCTCGTCCTGTCCGTGCGGTGCAGCAATCCCTCATCTCTCGCTAGTAGGAGATGCGTGCCGCTAATGTACAGAAAATCACATTTCTGAAAAAAGTCATTTCACACAGTCATGGTTGATGTCATTGGTGTCACTTCAAAGAACTTGAACGTCCCCAGTGTCGGAAAAATGTAATAATATGCTTAATAATTAAAACGACCCAATAAATTCTTTAAAAATAAGACTATTTGGAGGTTTTGATTTTCAGAACTTTTTTTTCATGAATTCAAATGACATTTTGTTATTTTCAATTTTGAGAATGCATAGTTTCCTTAAATTAATACTGGTGTCAGGAACCAACCAGGCTCGACCGCCACTCAGTCACAGAGATCGCTGTCTCCTGAATTCTAATCTCCCAGCACCTGCACGTCATTAGTCCTCCATCAACACCCACATATAAGCACATTGAGTTCTCCAGTTTAATGTCTGGTTTCGTTTGAGCAAAGGACTGTTGTTGACGCTACCTACCTGTTTCCGGAATATTCTTTAAAGTATCTTTATTAGCCGCTTTCCGACCAAGTAGTTACAGGAACTTAGTTATAGGAACTGTCCACTTCTAAACAGTTCTGAGAACTACTCTCCCCCAAACACGGTTTTGCTGTTTGCGTTCGCACTGGCCAAGTGGCCATAGGAACTGTAGGAGCGGTAAGGGAGTGACGCAAGCACGGCGGCGGCGGCGCCACATACAACAACAACAAACCAGCGTGGAGGAGGCTATCGGAATGTTCCTGTTCTGCCTTGCCGGGACCTTAATAACGGAGTACGAACGGCGGCGTTTAAAGACTATGCTTGAGTTCTGTACAGAGAAACACAGAAGACGAAGGCTCCAGCGTAATATGATCTTAAGTAATATAATGGAAGAAGATAGAAGAGCAGAGCGCAGGAGGCAAACAAAACGACGGGTAAGTTTAGCAAGCATTAGCAATTAGCTGGTTGAATGCGTTATGTTCGTCTTAAGTTATGAGTTAGCATAGCATACATAGGCGAATTGCAACAGACAGTGAAGAAAATGTGTTGACAGTGGGTGTGACTTATAAGTTGAACCAATCAACGTAGACCTAGGGAAAGGGAACTAAAAAAGTCCTCGCTCTAGACTAGGTACTGAAAGAGTTATAGGAACTACGGTCTGAGGAACTAAAAAATCCCCAACTTAGTCCGGTCGGAACACACGAAAAAAAGGGTTTTAGGAACGTTAGGTTCTAGGAACTGCAAAAGTCCTTCCGGTCGGAAAGCGGCTATTGTAGTCTCCGATCCTTTGTCAACTTCCTCCTGGTTCCAGTTTCCTGTTGTCCTTCTTCCTTCAGCTCTCCAGATATCCATTTCTTCACTCAGCGATCTCTATCAACACCTCCATCTTCAACGACCTCTATCCCTTGAATAAGCGCCTACTTCTTTAGTAAGGACCATCTCATCAGAGATCTCTTCAGTATTCTCCCTGCAACTCATTATCTTACTCACGTTCTGAAAATAAACCTGTATTTTTATCTTACGTCGTTGTCTTGAGTCTCTGTCCCGTAACAACTGGAGTGCCATTTTATCATTTTGTAACTTTTGTTCTCGATGTTTGGTGATTTGTTCACGTCAAGTTTCTTGTGTGTGTGTGTCTTTAACTTTGACTGTTAATGAGTCTGCTCTTTTACACTCTATAGCTGTAGTTCTGTTCATATTCATGTGGTTTTCTGACTTCTATGAATGTGTGTTTTATGCTGAACCTGTCAAAGTATATTAAAATAAGAGCTTTCAATGAGTTTGGTGTTGTGGCGTGTTTGATTTGCACTGACTCAAGTGGTTGTTAAACTCATGCGTTGAGATTCTTCATGATCTTAGTGTTGTGCTCATCTCCTGGATCCAGGGTTCCCACGGGTCCTTGAAATCCGTGAAAGTTTGTGAATTAAAAAAAAAGTCAAGGCTCTCGAAAGTTTTTGCAAATAAACATACAGACACAGGTATATAGACACAGGAAAATCCTTGAATTTATTTTGTGCAAGAAGTTTCCTGGAAAAAATCCATATTCCCTCTGGTCCGCTAATGTGTTATTTGCAGTTCATGGCCTATACGCACTAGCTTACAAATACAAGTTTCAAGATATTTGGCTCCCCAAAGAATGGCTTGCCAGAGATCCAATTATGTCAAATAGAATATCAGATCTCTGCCATATGGCCAAAAATAAATGCACAAAAAAGCTTTTTTGCATAGTTGTTTGACACATGAAAACTGTAACAATGTATTTTACTAATCTCTCACTTGAAATGTTCCTACATTAAGTCCCTGAATTTGAGGGTATTGCACCTGAAAAGTCCTTGAAAGTTAACCAAGGTGTGGGAACCCTGTGGAACAGTTCAGTCCTGCTTCTGTCACCCGAGTGTGTCTGTAAAACCCCTTCAGTTCTCGAACGGTCACTGGCTTTATGAGCCCCAGTTCCCCTCGGACTGTTTCTGCATCACTAAAGTTCCTCTTTTATACCATTACATGTAGGTGAGATCTGATGTGTGGAGCTCAGTCTGAGCCATAGACGCACGCTGTGGAATGAGAGAACGGCTGCTTTGAGAGCTCAGGTTGGCTTGTGTTGTCGTGTCACTACCTTGTGCGTGTTGTGTGGTTATAGACGTTTCTTACTGTTAGATTTTGCTGTATTTGGCCGAGCAGTGGTTTGGGTGGCTCGCCAATGTATTACATTTCTCCAATACATCAAATAAGTAAGCTTGACCAGTTCTTGTGGGGAGAAGAATTTATTGAAGGTTTGTAGTGTAGCAGTCCTTGAGCAGCGATGTTAGCATGTCACCCTTCAACAATCTTAACCCAAAGTTCTGTCTGTGAGACTTTATACATGAAGACATATGGCTGCACACAATATAAACATGTTGGGAACTCCCACAGGAGATCGTTCTCACCTGCTAATCTACTCTGAGCAATGCTGTTTCTTTGTCATTCACACCAATCACAGTTTCTATGGGCCATGCATCTGTATGTTTTGTGTGTTGTGCCATTTGGTACACACCTTTACAGACACAGATAGAGTTGATTAAATCTAAGACACAGTCACAAATGAATCTGATGACTGAAAATACTAAATCTTTCATTACTGAGCTCTTTATAATCTGAAAGCATCCTCTGAACTTCTGTTTCAGGCCCTGTAGGAGCCATACACCGGGTTTGACTTGGTTTTTATGATTTTTCCTCTTTTCTATGCACTGTCGTGTATGTGCAAACGCATCGCGGCGTCATCGGTTTCTGTGGGCGGGACCGGGGGTGTGGTGTCTGTATTAGTGTGTGTGTGTGCTCACCTGTGTGGGAAAGCTTGGGGTTTGGATCATGGCTGCAGGGTAAACATCGGGAGAAACTTTCTGTTGACCGTCACTGTTAACATCTTACACTGATGTCTCTGAGGTACCTTTGCACGGTTTACAAAATGCATCACTCAAAGTAAGTTTTTCGGTTTTCTAAGTTTGTGAAATCGCGTAATAAAGAGACTCCAACATGTACAATGGTTCAGTGTGACGCGTCTTCAGTGTAAACCCTCATGTTTCAGCCAGCTGTGGCGTTTTGGTTGGTTTGGTTTAGTGATATAATACGGCGCAATAGTATAATAGCCTAAAAGGTATAAGTTATACAAGACAATTCAACTACAAATGAATAGTTGTTTAACATAGTTGTTAGTTAACTGCTTGTAAAAAATAAAAAAGTAAACAAAGACTTAATATAGAAATGAAATAAAAAACACTTAGCATGTTAAAATTAAATTTAATAGTGATTCTTGAAATAATATTGAAAGCAAACTTTTCTTTTTGACATTCGGTGCATTGCAACATGTCATTTATTTATTCAGAGGTTGCGCAGGTTTCAGCATTTCGTCGGATCTGGCACGGGTTTGCAGGGATACACAAATGACTCAAGTTCTGCTATTTCCTGATGATCGTAGATGCCGGTAATGGAGGTTGTGTGTTCTTCACCGTTCCTATATTGTCGGATGAGCTGACCAGAGTACGGGACTCGAGCAGAAAAGGTTTTGCTTTTAATCTCAATCACACAGGATTGGTTGGGTGGAATCTCTATCTCCATGCTCACTGAGTGCAGGGCCTTATTAAGATCAGATGTCGTTTCAGAATTCAGGCGACTCTGGTCATATTTCGCAGAAACTTTTCCACCTACTTGAACTAAACTGAAAATGCTCCCGGAGACTGATGCCTCTATCGCTCCTCCAACCGTATCCGTACGGCCCTTTAGGAAAGCTCTTGTTCTGTCGATGCCGTGATCCAGCTTCACCACATGTTTGGCTGGATTATAGTTCATGTTCTGAGCACTGAACTGTTTTAGCACTTCTACCCTCTCTGACTTTTCCTCTTCTTTGACTATATACTCATCAATTTCTAAATGCTGTCCTATTATGTCATAGTTTACGGAGAGAACTTCAGTTTGCATGTTTTTTTTCTGGTTTAAAACTTTTTCTGTCACAGAACGGATACCATTGTTATCTTTAGCGATGTAGTGTTTACAAAGCTTTACTGCGTAGAATGGGATCTGGCCACTCTGTATATCTGGCCATTTTTTCCAATCTAACATTTCAAAGTCGTCTTTATTCACTAGAAATTCACGTACCGCCTTATTAGCACCTTTGCTTGATATTTCTGAACTTTTGATTATCTCTAACTCCTTATTACATTTCTTATATCCAAGAATGTAATACTCATTGTTGTTGTCATCAGAAACTAGAACTGCATCTTTAGGTGGATCGTTTGATGCAACGAGCTCCAAGTAACGCTTCATCTCCAGAGCGTGGTCCTCTTTCTCTGATCCACGAGGATGAAGGCGATGATGATGGTTAGAAGAGTCTGCAAGACAAATCCAAAGAAACGCACAAACCAAAGACTGATAACTTTTGTTATTTACAATAATTTTAAATAAGTATTTCTTCACACATGGATTATAGTTTAGTTAAGGACTTCTGCAGAATTACAAGAACTGAAGATGAACACACCAGTGATGTTGGAGAAGTCCCCCCCCCCGCACACAGTATGAAGATGTGTATCAGAGCGAAGATGAAGAGCACGCTGACACCCATCATTCAATATCTGTGGAATATCAGCAAACTGTCATGAGAAGATGAGACTGGTGTACAATTAATTATTTTTCTTTCTTTTTAAAAAAAATGTTACCAGCCGCCGCCAGCATTTTTGAGTTTGAGTTTCACGGCCCCCAGAATATTTTGTTCTATCTGAACATGCAATATATCAAAAGAAAGAAGAGAGCCTCTGCTTTTAAACAAAAATAATCATTTATATCACAAATTCGAAGAAACAAGACACCTTATTAAGTCACTCATCTTACCTGTGAAGGATCACCTGTAAATGTAGAGTTGCTGAGAGTAAAGCTCTTCAGTTCCCTGACCCCTGTCCAGTGCACTCGTATATATCACAGCCCTGATGCAAATACAGTCGTGCACATTATCACATGTGCTCAGTTATTTCCATCGGTCAATACTGAAGCCGTATATGCAAAACTCTTCACTCATTCAGAGACACAGAAGTCTATTTGGACCAAACAGTGAATCATTTTTCATAACTTTCACACAAAATGCCTTCAATAAGCACACTTTTGTCATAAATACTTCACCATCTGCGAAACACTACATATTTGCAGCACATTTTTCAAATGCTAACGTTTTAATTGTTAAAAACCGATAAAAGCACATTCAAAAAAGCACATTGCAGCGCGATTCAGAGAGAACTTCATAAAAGTGAGACAGTAATGTTGTCATAGAAATGTTTTAAATAATACAATTTTGTGAAATGTTTAAAATAATTTATGTCTTCTCGGATCCATTCGGAAAAAGCACATTTATTATTAGTTACCCGATAACTGCGCGAGCCGTGTCCGAAGTTTTGGGTTATCAGCTCAGCTCGCGCACAGAAGCTATAATGGGAATATTTCATTTGTTTTATATACTGTTAATTAGATACATTTACTTCATAGACATCCTTCTCTGATGTATCCATTGTGCTCTGTTTTGTAAGAAAAAATGGTGTGGATCGAAGATCTCAAAGATGAAGTTTATTACAAACTACACAACGCACCTCGTTCACCGAAGTCAGAATGAACCCAGAACATCCCAATCTTAAACCCTTTATCCTGTTACAGTTTACAACTCTTAAATTAAATGGCCCTGTTGTTACAGCTGTCACTCTAAGAAGAAAAGGCTCTTTGAGGCTCCTGCATGCGATTGCAACTGATGTGGGGAACCTTAAAGGTTCATGTTTGAACCTTTTTGAAAAGGTTTCACTTAAAATGTGCATGACCCTGCAATAATAAACCTTTTTGATAAATAGAAGTTCATATTTGCACTTTGAAGTTCTTTATTGAACTCCAAAGGTTCTAGCTCTTCTAAGAGTGGTCTGTATGTTAGTGAAGTTGAGACATTGTCTGAGACTATACGTCTGTAACTGTTATAACTAAATGCACATGGTATCGGTTTTGGTATCAGGGAATTTGAATGAGTACGAGTACACGAGCACAGAATCAGACCGAGACTGTAATCAGTGCATCCCTTGTTCATTTAAAAAACAAAGGCATCAATGATGCAACATTTCTACATTAGAGGGTTTGGAATTCAATAGAATTTTGTGGCATAGTGCTAGTCATTTGTTTGTGTCTACTAGAGTGCCATCTTGTGAGGCACTTTTAAGACAACTGATGTTTAGTGTCGCCTGGACAGGTCAGTGAACCATATAATTGAAGCCCTAGTCAGTCCGCTGTAAAGCTGTTATAGATGTATAAGAAGACACTGGTGCTATAGCCTGTATATCCTATAGGCTAATATGGAAATTTGTATGTATTTATGTATGTATGTATGTGTTATATGGACCTGTGTCTGCAATAAAGCTTTAATTATATTAGTTGTCCTTATAGATGTACAATCGAATTCTACTGAAGTGTTTGGTGCAAAAGTCATAAAAAGCTTGTTTTTTATTTGCTTTCTGTGTAAAACTTTGGACTACGATTTTCTAGGCTGATATGGCTAGGAACTATACTCTCATTCCTGCGTAATAATCAAGAAACTTCACTGCCGTACCATGAGAGCAGCAGGCGTAATGATATGACACAGCGCCTGAAAATAGTTCCGTTGTGTTGATGGAAGGTGGCCTATTTTCAGGCGCTGCGTCATATCATTACGCCTGCTGCTCTCATGGTACGGCAGTGAAGTTTCTTGATTATTACGCAGGAATGAGAGTATAGTTCCTAGCCATATCAGCCTAGAAAATCGCAACTTTACATTTTCCGTCGGTCTTAGTGCACGATGTAACTACAGAAGAGTCAATTTTTAAATAGGAAAAATATCGAAACTCTTTGGTCATTTTTTTTTTAGAAATGCTAATGGTCTTGTCCACTTCAATGATGTATGCTAAGCTATGCTAAAAGTGGTACCGCCAGAACCGGAGATCGGCTGAATGGATTCAAAAACGGTAAAACTGAACAGTTTAACTCTGGGGGAGTTGTAAAATGAGCCTATTTCCAAAAAAAGTGGAGTATCCCTTTAACAACTTGATAAATACAAATATCTGATGTATTTTAAACCATGTATTAAAGTTGTAAATGTTCATTAAAACATTAAGAAGTTTTTAATTCATGCTAATTTATAAAGGGAATTGATGCAAGGCTTAATTAGTGTCTAACTGTCATCTATGTTTCTTTTAATTACATTTTAAATAAAATTTAATCACTTATTCTTTGTTCTTATTTCCTAAGCACTTGTTGTGATTAGTTTATGATTCTTTTAAAATCCTTTTTATGTAAATCACTTTGAATTACCATTGTGTATGAAATGTTCTATATTAATAAACTCGCCTTGCCTTGACGTTTGTGTGACTGAATCTACAGTGAGAAATATTTAGAAATATTTAACAAATAATAATTATTGCCATTGTTGACAAATATACGGTACAGTTGACAGGGCATATAAGCCCTAAATATCAGTAAAAATGTGGCCACTTCTGGCTTGAATGCAGCACCTTTGAAAGAGATGTTTAGCTAAAAATGCCAACATTTAAAAATATGGCGTAAATAGTTTGTAAACAAACATGGCCTATGTGACAAGACACAAAATTGTACAGGCTAGTCTGGAGAGAAAATGGCAGTTGTGGTTTGGCCTCCACTGTGATTTATTTATTTTTAACATGATTTTAATGGTGTGTGTGTGTGTGTGTGTGTGTGTGCGTGCGTGCGTGCATGCGTGCGTGCGTGTGCGCGCACGTGTGTGTATCCTCACACACTATCCTCTCCCTGTGGAGGATCCCTTTCCCACTCTACAGATAAAGCGTTGTTGAAAATCCGGTTGGCGTACCCCGAAGTGATAAAATAAAATAAAATTCTGTATCAAATTTATAGGCAAGACAAGTAGTTTGTTTAGGCCATGGTTTGTAGGGAAATTACAAACCTGCGCACACATATTCAAACGAATATAACTATAGAATCAATTTTTAATGCGCATGTGAACGCCATCAGGTAATTAATACCCGGTGGCAACCACCAAAGATTGTCTGATCAGAACAATAAAGGATGTCCGTTTAGGAGGAGCCAGATGCACACACCACTCACAGACCACCCATTTCAAACATGAACATAATTTAATTAAGTGTGGTTCTAGAAAGAGAAACAACAATAAAGAAAGTATAAATATACACAATGATAAACATCAATATGCAAATGAATACAATCCGTATTTCGTATGACATTAACACTGGAAATATGTATTCAGCGATCGTACAATATGATTAGCTTACAGACACGTGTGCTACTGCATAGCCTATGTGATAATCACATCTTTAACGACAAATTTACGCACTCTCACAGTGTAAAAACACGGTATAATGATGCAAGATTAACTTACTCTTTGATGCACGCACACATGTGATTAGTAGGGATGCACAATGATATCGGGACAACATCGGTATCGGCCGATAAAAGCTTAAAATGACCATCATCGGCATCGGCCGATATGAATATTTCTGCCGATGAGTCTTGCCGATAGGGTGGCGTGTTTCCTATGCGCACGTGACGCGAACGAAGCATGAGTGCCAGCAACTTAAACTTCCAACTAGGGGTGTGCGTCTCACGGTTTTTGATCGTGGACGATTAAAATGTCTCCACGATCTGCTTTTGAAGAAAAATCATAGTATCGTGCATTCTCAGTTCAATTCTGGCGCCTTCATCTCAACATACTGTACAACGCGACGTACATTCACATCACATCACATGTAAACGCAGAGGTAGAGTTACACTCACGGTCACGGGACACCGCAATTCACAAAAGTTCATTGTTTGCATGTGCGTCAAAGTCTTGCTAGGTAAACATGTCATTCACGTGCTGATGCGCTGTTCTAACATCCGCTTTTCTGAGCGCGTTACACCCGACGCTCACAGGAACTAAAGCGTCACAGCGTCTGCATACTGGACTAATCTTTCGAGTCTTATTGCGCTGATACTGTCAAATACACACACGGTTTACATACACAAAGTTGGTTATGTCTAAAGTGAAAGCAAACAGAGAAAATCTGCTTGTCAAATGCGTGTATATTAGACGCGTCGCGTGCAGTTCTTAAAGAGACAGTATAATATGCTGCCGCTTGTCCTTAAAGTCCCCGTGAACCGGAAGTTGCAAACGACTTTTCTCCAGTGTTGTGACGTATTTCCGAGAGAAACGGAATACTAAATGAGGCAAAATGGTGGGCGTGGCTTTTTCCCCAACTAGCACCTGATTGGATCTAGAAAAGTAGGTGTTTTCA